CAGACTCGTTCCTCAAGAAAAGAAAGTATGTTCCCTGCTGCGAAAGATGGGAATGTAGCTGAAAAAACACCAAGAAACTCATAAGTACGGCGAAACATTAAGACTTGGCAAGGAAAACAGCCAGAACACTTGGTATGAAGGGAGGTTAAGTATTCTATACCTAATCTCCCGAACTTGCGCGGGATGGGGAGCGTAATTGATTGGGACACGAACCATTTTCCTTTAATTATAACCATCCTTTCTTTCCATTTCTTTTCGGATGAAGGAAGGTTCGTGCATATCCTCTGATGAAAGGGAGAGGTAAAAAAGAAGCGACCAGGCTCGGTCCCATGCTTAGATATATTGTAAGTAAGCAGAAGGTCGGCAAGGGTCAAATCCAGAACCTCTAATTTCCGGCGCACCAACAGTGCCGAAAGGATGCGAAAGAAATTAGGATTTACCTAAAGGGGGGCAAGACCTAGCTTGTTGAAAACTAAATGATAGAAAGGATGAAGAGGGAATCGAAGGGCGTTAAGATGCCCTACCGAAAGAAGCAATTCATTCTCCTCAATTCCCTCGCCGGAGGTAAAATCGGCACCCTCGGGATATTCTGCAATTTCTACTCCCTCAGGAATATCAAATTCTTCCATTACCGAAGCAATAGAGAACTTGATGCGGCGAATAGAGATGATTGCTTTCCTCTCTTCATGAGTAAGAACATAATCAGAGCCTGAGGTGGATGTCTCGGCTGGAAGGGGGGAAATACCTAATGGATTCAACGAAAGACGATCTGTAGAAACCCTAGGAGGGGGAGCCCTAATGCGAACGGGGGAAGATGAAAGTGTGGATTCAGAATCCCCAATGTCTATACGTTCGGGAGTAGATGAAGTACTCATAATGAAAGATTGAAGAGAAAGATGCGAAACTAACCTGACAAAGCGATGGAATGAAGAACGCAGAAATGCAGTAAGGGCGAATGTAACTCTTGCAAAATCTTGTATGACGGAGTAATAATGAAAGACCTCGAACCGTTTCTGAAGCAAAGTAAAAAAACCGGTTTCAATTCCCTCTTTAATAGGAGCCGTCACTCAATTAAAAATGAAATTTGGGGCAAAGTGTGGAGGGAAAAAAATTCCCTCCAATAAAAAGCGCACACGTCACCACTACACATATTTACATTCCAAGGACATATAAGGCCCATCAGGCTCAAGCCCAAATTGAGGGTATTTACAGCCCAAGACCATTGTTATTTGTCCTCCAACCTCCATCAAGGCCGAATCAAGAGGTCATCAGCCCAACTTGTTAATATTTAACATCCGGTCCGTTACTCAAGCACAGCCTGATCAAAATATGTTCAACCCAGTTATTCAAGAATGCACAAGTCCTACCAGTTGAAGGATTTACTGTAGAAGGAAAATTCTGAAATAGGAAGTTCTGTACAAGGCAAGTTCTATGTATGGAAAATTAGACAATGGAAAGAACTCTATTAGTAAAGAATGTTTATATAGAAAGAATTAGAGGGCAAGCAACGCGAGTCCTACCATAATTTTACAATTTTTTGTATATAAATAGAGGCTAAGACCTCCAATAAAGGGATCAAGCAATTCTACGCTTCTCTATACACTGTTCTTATTTATTCTTATTATTTTTGAGTGTGTTGTTCTATTTTTCTCAATCATTATTGGTTGAGCGAAATTTTGCACCTACCGGGGGCGAGGTTGGGAATATGAAACCCCTATAAAATGCACCAAATTAATTAGCCCCACACACACACAAATATATATAGAGAGATGATGTTACAATATGAGATCAGAGAAGAGACACCTACTCCTTGTTCGACAACCAATTTACGGTACGAGGCTATCTGTTCATCGGTCAACACGTCACGGATGTTCAGTCCCTTTCCTGGTCGTTTATGTGGTGCTTACTTTTGTGGTGCTTCAGAAGCCATTGGATTGCAAAACAAGGGGAAACCTAACTGCCACAATCGATTAGATGAGAACGAGAGAGATTGGTATTTTAATATTAATCATCTATATATATATATATACTCCTTCTGGGCCTCTCTGTTTCTGCACCGCTTCTTCTTGCACAGGATGCTTCTGCAGAAGGCGGTGAAAGTTTAGGAACCCTAGGCTATAACTGTATTTGGACCAATTGTTGGGCTCATTCACTGGCCTGCTATTTTTGTTTGGGCTCATTCACTAGCCTACTGTTTTTGTTTCGGCTTGGGCCTGATGTATATTCTTTCTTTATATATATACTTCGCAATTACCTTCCAAAAAAAAAAACATAATAGCGAAATTTTATAAAATAATAAAATAAGTTACCAATTAAAATAAATCTCATATGCTATCAATTAATATAAATCCTATTATACTAGGAATTCTTCAAGTTTAAAGTAACTTTTGTTTTTTTATTGTATTCTATTTATAACTCTTTTCTAAATATAATTATAGATCAAAACCTTTAAAATTAGGTAATTGTTTACTTTAAAGATTTGAAACATTTTGATAAAATAAATGACGATTAATAGATTATTTATCAAAATCTTTTAAATAAAATAATAAACTAATTTATCAAATAATAAAATAAATTACCAATTAAAATAAATCGGATAAGTTACCAATTAAAATAAATCGGATAAGTTACCAATTAAAATAAAAGAGTTTCTTATAAATATAAAATAAGTAATTATTTAATAGAATAAATTACCAATTAAAATTAAATAGGTAATTGTTTAATTAAAATTGAATTAAGATATTTCAAATAATTTATAGATAAAATAATTTACCAATTAAAAAAAAATCATATAAGTTAGTAATTAAAATAATTCATACTATCCTCGGAATTCTTTTATATTATTTTATGTCAAACTCTTCCTAAATATAAATATAGATCTAAATTTTAATCTTGACAACAATTGTTACACTTAACTTGCTAATTTTTGTGGCCAAAAGGGGTTCTCTTCGTCTTGGTGGCCGCCACCGCCCCGGAGAGGGAAAGAGTGTTATCCTGTATTTTTCCCCTCCATTTTAAAGTATATAATCTCGCTTGAAAGCTCTAAAGAGGAGCAGTAAAGGATTGCTTTGCGATACAAATTGATTTAGGGAAAAAAAAAAAAAAAAAAAAAATTGTGCCCGTCTTTATCTTTCTGTTATATTCCTTATCTTTCTATTTCCATATTATAAGTTTTTTTTTTTTTTTTTCAATGATTAGTATTGAAGTGATTAATCATGCCCATCTTTGCTGGTTATGAATACACTAAAACCCATATAACTATTAACATATCCAAATAAACCTATAACAGATAAAAGCCATGAAAGCCGATGAGACCTGATTACGAAACGTACAAGTTTTAAAAAAAAATTGAGGAATTTTCATATATAGATCTCGATTCATCATATAGAAATAAGTTTTATTTTATGCAAAAACAAAATATGATATATCATTCAATTAATAGATTGAATACTTACATGAAAAGTCTATTATGGATGGTAATCCTGCAAATCCTAAAAACTAAAGAGAGAAAATAAATTCTTTTTTCTTCTTCTAAAAGTCACACCTAAAATATACATAAACCATGTATATATATATATAGACAAAATAAAAATAAGAAAAGAAAACAACAAATGCAAACCCTAAAAACTATAGAGAGAAAATAAATTCTTTTTTCTTCTTCTACAAGTCACAAATATACCTAGACCATGTATATATATAGCCAAAATAAAAATAAGAAAAGGAAACAACAAATCATTCTCCATCTCTAATTCAAATATCTCAATTCTAATAGAACTCCAATATTAATTTGGGTTATAGCTGAGAATCGGTGAGAATCATTTGGCTTACTATTTTCTTGGTTACTATAAATTATTAATTGGTCTGTTCCATTAAACTATAGACCCAATTCAATTCATTCATAAATTAATTTCTACCCTATCAAAAGAAATTAAGGGCTAGTTTGGTGTGGTTGAATGAAATAAAGTGGAAATGGAATAAATCAGAGAATGGAATGGGAATTAATTTCTCATTCCCATGTTTGGTTGCACAGAAATATATCCTATTTTTGTAAAACATGTATATATATATATATATATATATATATATATATATAGCCGACATTTCATTAAATACTTTTTTATTCATTTATTTATTATTATTATTTTGAAAGTGGAATGGAATAATCATTTCTTTAGTTAGAAAGTGAAATGAATTAGTGCGAACCACCATTCTCGGAGACTGGGCAAGAATCATCATTCCAACTTTAAAGTAAGTTACCAAACTAAAGAATAGAAATAAAAGCATTCCATTCCCACTTCATTTGATTCCATTCACTCACACCAAACATGGCCTTAGTCTAAAAAGAAAGGAATCCAGTAAAGATCAAGGCTACCTAGCTAATGTGCCCAATTTATTACTCTCGAACTAGTTTTCATTCTGATAAAAATTTCTACAAAATAAATAAGTAATTACGCTATCAAATAACCCGAAAAGAATCAAATTTATGTCCAATATAGAAATCATCAAATTAACAACTTACCTTGTCCTCTCCGTCAATGAAAATTTGTCACAATCGAAAGGCAATATATCTGCTTATTGTATAAATCAAAACTTCATAAAGCAGATTTCAAGGGACCAAGCTACAAATGAATTACATTATTCTAAATCCAAATTCACCAACATTTGTAGGCTATGGAGCACATGTGAATTTCATTTCATCTTTGAGGGTGAGGGTGTCACTGAGGTTGCTCAGTCCCCTCCTCACGTTATAATGCCAATCACCCCCATTTGTTCACAAAAGAGGAATTTGATTGTTGTATTACTGTTTTGTTTTAGCAACAGAAACCAAAAATGTCTTTGATACTTTCAGACCATCTCCAAAGATTTAAGGCACAAAAGCACAAAATTTGGCACCGACTATTCAGACGAACCACTATCAGTTTGCAATAACCAATCTGTGAATCCAGGTCCAACATTGGATCAATCATATTGAATTACATGCACACATAACTCCCATCCACTTTGTTAGTTAATATACATATATGAAAACATTTCATTGTAGACAGACGCAACATCATTAGTTTGTTTTCACAGTTTTTAGGAAATTCACAAACAACATTTTAGCATATAGCCAACAACTATCCAATAATGTTCTAAAGCCACAATTATGAAGTTTACAGTCCCCTTCATCCAAATCGAAATGAATTCAACCTCACACTCCTTCATGCAATCTCGAATCACCTGCAAATAACACCCAAAAAATATAAGTTTTTGTCATGCAAGCAAATTGAAATATTCCAATGAATGGCACTCAAAGCTGGCCATTGCTACTTGTTTACAAATTGGTTGCATTAAGTTTTCTAATCATTCAAATTCTATCCATAATCACTGTTCTTTGACAAATTGAACTTGTATGTAGTTTACACCTCACCCAGCATCCTTACTTCCCTTCTCCACATCCTTTGCTCCTATAAACTCAAACCTTTTTCCTCCTACATGTGGTCATTGTTTTACATATTATGCTGTACATGATACAATAGTATCACTTACTTCCTCACTAAAATTAGCAACGGATTGTACTCTATTCTTCATTAAGCAACTACGATGATAAAACTATTCCAAGTAATAAGCTGGTTTTTCATATTCTCAGTAAATTTTCTCCACAGCAAACAAAGAACCCTCAACTGCAACAGGGGAAGATATTCTCAGTAAATTTTCCTACGCATTTCAGCTTCACTTCTCAAGGTTTCAAGCACACAAAAGAGGTGTAAAGGAATTAATTAGGCACAATATAATTCTATTATGGGCACAATATAGTTGGTACTCACACACACATGCCTCTATGGAAGCTTGAACCCTTAACCTTCCTTTGGAAAGTAAGGGCCTGATACCACTATGTTACACACATTTTACAGCAACAAAATATAATAATGTATTTTTTTTTTTTTCGTTCTCTTATTAATTTAGTCCCAAAGATCCAATCACAAATCCTGTCAGAACTTAACCTAAAATTTGCATAAAATTGGGAAAGAAAAAACACAAGCAAATTACGCAGTAACTACTCAAAGGACTGCTAGTAATGGAACATGTAGGAATAATAGGGCCCATTTCCTTTTTTTTCCCTGTTGTTGGCCATCATAAGTGAAAGGAAAGGCAATAAAAGATGGGTGATCATCTACTCCATACCTTTATTTCCCATTTAATCTAATCTGCGCCCAATTGTTTCAACAATCTACTAATTTATTTTAGGTAATCTTCTTTCATTTGTTTCTAAATATCAAATAGTTCTTTTGACAATATGAAGCAATTATCAGCTTTCTTCCTTTTATACAAGATGCCAAATACTTTCAAACTCAGATATACTTTCCAAACAAAAGGATATTTAGAACATATCACACTGATTTTTCATTTCACTAGACAGTAGAGTGGGAGGCTTTAGATGCTGTGGGTTCTTCAGGGAAAGTCCTTGTGATGTGGGATAGGAGATGGGCAAGCCAGAGCCAGGAATTGAAGTCAGGGGGTCACAATGAGCATGGTAAAAAAAAAAAAAAATTAAAACCCGCGGCAAAATTTCAAGTCAAAAAATATAATTTCTATTCAATTACCATATTTGCTATTATTCTAAAATATATATGGTAAAAAAGACTAAAAATAAAATGAAAAAATCAGTTTAAAATTTTTTTTCCCAGTAAATTAAAGAGACAAAGAAAGGGGCAGAAAAAATCAGTTTAAATTAGATCTTATAGCACAATAAATGTTTATAGAAATCCAAATGATTTAGTTTATGTTTCAGATATACCTCTTTCCACTCTTGAATGTTCTTCATCTGAGAAACTTTCCCCATTGTGAAGCTCAACCCCAACACTTCCTCCTCCCCGTTCTCTTCCCTCTCTCTCTCTGTATATATATATATATATATATATATATATATAAATTGAAATCTGCTCCCTCTTTCTCTCTCTAGAACTCTGTTTATTTCTCTACTTATGCAGCATGTGTTTATTGTAACAAGGAGGAGATGGAAGGAAAACCTCCAGGGTTCAAAACTAGAGCAACTAGGCAAGGCAAGACAGAGAGATGATGGATGAGAGATTCTCGGACTGTAAAAGAGAGAAGGGAAAGTTGGAACAAAGAAAAACTAAAGAGGAAAAGAGAAAAGTAGAAGGGAAAGGTAGAATAAAACTGCACTGTACCTCTCTTTCTTCCCTCTTCCTCTCTATGCGTGTCTTGGTCGAGCAGAGAAACCTCTTCATTGTTTTAACTTCTAGCAAATTGCATCTGTTGATCTCCGGCCTCTAGTTTCTACTAGTATTATTTTTGGTACTCCCAACTCCAGTTAAGCGTTAATACATATATTATGTATATATAAATTCTCAGTTCCCTACTTTTTTAAGAAATCTGTGTTTAAAAAAAAAATTGCACCATTGCCAACGATTTATATATCCTTCCTGACTCAAACTTGCGCTCTTATTTATCAAAAATAAATATGAACATACTTATCAAAAACAAAGTATGAACATCTTATCAAACCTGAATTCGTTTTCAGTCTCTGTTTTCCCATCAATATGAACATCTTATTAAAACTAATCTTCTAAGCAATAAACCAAATTTATGTGATAAGAAACAATAAAATTAAATTAAAAAAAAAAAACTATTTATTTTATTTTAACAATCCAACCAAATTCGAAGCTGTGCAAGATGACGACGACAAAAAAAAATATCCGAGAGCTGTACGGCAAAATATGGAGCACACTTGAATTAATAAAATTGGATGATTTTTATGCTAATATGATTTACGATGAGAAAATAGAGATAATGTGGATAAGAAGAATTAGAGAGGGAGGATGAAACCAGAATCCAGAAAATACATGATAGAAAAAAAGGGAGAGGAGATACTATTTTAATGGGTGTGATACAGGGTTATTTTGGTCATTTTCTTTATCAGAGACTAAAGTGGAGTGCTTGGCGGCTTTATTGGAGCATGGATATCAGCTCCCTTAAAATAATTGTTTTTTTCGCTGACTGGAAATTTGCCTATTAATGGATTAATTTAATTTCAGAAAAGCCATAATTACCAAACTTAGAAAGTATCTCATGGAAAAGCAACTTAGGCAAAAGATGGTGTTGATTTTCACCTAATAACCCTTACCTTTCGTTTTCCATTTCATAACTCTCTTATTTTACCAATTTCTCATTTTTTTTCTCTTTCCTTTGACCAACTCTTCCGAAAATTTCATCCAACCATTTCCTCAGATCACCTCTTCTGGCAACCTCCCTAACATACATTTTTTTGTTTTTTATTTTTTATTTTAAACAAGATGTCTGTGTGTTATATTTTTTCAGTTTTTATGAATTTCTATAGATGTCAATACATATATATTTATATATATAAATGTTAACATAGGGTCCTTTCTTCCAATCTCTCATCGCTCTACTACTTTCTGCCAGTCGAAATATTATTAAACTAGTATTTTTATTTATTTTTAACTATTCCTTAAGTTTCATTTATGTTTATGATATGACAAAATTTTATTTAGAAATACTTGTAAGAGTTTTTATTTTTATTTCTTAAACTATTCTCTTAAGTTTATTTATTTTTATGAAATGATAAAATTTCATTTAAAGTTCTAAATAAAAATAAAAAAATTATGTTTTGCCTCTGAATTGGATTCCAAGGTCTATAAACTTTTTTCTAATTAACTTTTGCTTGATTGAATTGATATACTGGGTGTTTTTGATCTACTAAATTAATTTTATTATTATTTTTAAATACATGGGAAAATAATGTCTATCACCCAAATTTAATAACAATGACCCATCGACATATATATGATACACGCAAACTGCTGTGTATCTGTACAAAAACATTTACTCAACAAACTTTAATTTAGAAATGGTTTCTATCAAAGAGTTTTTTATCATCTAGAATTTCAAAACATTCCAGATACTAGATAGTATGAAAAATCAGTTTGCACTGAACTCCAAATAAGATCAGTTGCATTAAAATAATTTATTTATTGTTAGAAATATTTTTAGTGACGAATTTTGTATATCACCCTTCTAAAAGACAACTTTTTAGAGTATTTATTCGCCTTCTTAAAGAAGGAACATGTTTAAATGATCTCAAAAAAATCAACTCGGTCGAGGCAAATACAATAAATGACAAAGAAGGAACATATTTAAAATTCAACATGCTATAACACATTGGTTTTTTAGCAAATTGCAAATAAAACTCCCAAACTATAAAAATTTATTAAGCCCGTTGTTGCTACGCATGATGTTAAATTATTGATTCATCCATTAATTGAACTAGGTCATTTTGCTTAGTTTTCTTTGCGATTGTGTTACCTATTAATTTTATGTATACGCATTTTCATTTGTGTACATAGAAAAATTTATATAGCTTTTTTTATTATTATTATAGATTATAGAATTTTACCAAATTAATAGTTCAAGGAAGTTTGTTGCATCTCAACAGGTTTTCTTCTTCAAAAAAAAATTTTTTTCATTCTATGAGGGCACATGGGTAATTTTAACAGTTGTCTAACACACTATTTGCAAATGCTGCTACCTTATCTTGGAAGAAGCGCCTTCTACCTAGACAAGCGGCAGCGAGGCTCCTATTTTATCTTGGCTTGATAGATTTCTTCTCTACAGTGATTGGGAGGAGAGAAACTCATGTATAAAATAGACTTCTCATCTAATAACACCTTACTATTAGAACCAAAACCGAACAAAAAAAACTAAACAGCCACCAATCACCACCATTTTCCCCTTCTTAACACCCAAAACAGAATCCGCCCCTTTTCCCATCTTCTCTTCCACAACCATGTTCTACCTCACAACGGCTTCTATTTTGTAATGATCATGATTCCACCTGTCGAGATAGCATATCCAACAAGCCATCATTAGTCCAAAAACCTCTACATCCCTCTCCGAATGTTACCCTTATATATATTACAACAAAGGTGACCACCACTACCACCACCACCACCGATGTTACCTTTCAAGCCCCCATCATTGCTAGCATAAAACCTAACCCCCATTTGTTAAAGCTCCAACTTAAGTTGGTGTTCATAGAGGAGTTGATGAAACAATCACAAAATCGCAATGTTTCTTTAGTTTTGGATCATTTACGACATGGTTGCCATTGATTATTGTCTTGTACCTCACTCCTTTCTAGAACCAACCATCTCTCATGTGCTCACTAGCTCATAGACAGCTAGTAGTGCTCGATTTATCAACCCAGCAGACTTATATATTGGAAACTCCCCTCTAGGTCAAAATCACTGCTCATACTCAAACATATAAGAACCTTGGCTTGGTCCCACAGACTTCCAATGGTATCAAAGCGAGTTACTCAGCACATAGAGTTGATTTTTAGGAAGAATTATGGATTAAAAAATTAGATTTTATTTTATTTACACTGATGATTATGCTTTCTTTGATAATTTTTACATGATAATAATTCCAATTTATCTGATAGTTTTGTTATTGATTGTGAACGGATCTAAATTTGCTTAAAGATAATTATTTTATTTCTGATGCCTCTGTTAGGGTTTTTCATGTAAAAATACTTCTCTGCTTTCTTTTACTTATAGCTCTATGTGCTTGGGTGGTGATGATTGTTTTGTGATTAACTAATATACTGATTTTGAAACAAGGATCAACGATAACATAAACAGTTAGTTACGAAATAATATTCATGAGACCTATTGACACCCAAGACACTGACGTATTAGAGTCTTGGGAAACGGATCCAAAACTTTCACTACTGATAGTTTTATCAACCAAATAGAATCTTCACACTCATGACAGAGTTTCCAGCTAAACTTCATTCTGCTTACTAGCTAGAAGACTAACTTATAGGAAGTGAATACAACGAATACTTTGGAATGAAGTTATCAAGAAAAGATGACAGCATGATGGGGTGAAAAAACAAATTATGGTTTTCCCATTAAGACAGGTCTTTCATCAAAGAATACCGACCTGACTGTAGCACGCCTGACGGTGTTTTATCACCCATTTTTAACCCATTAAGAGCAGACAAACAACGTCTATACCAGGAGGATCCTGAAATCAACATATGCCAGATGGTTAAAATCTTATGACGATGGAATACCCCTCTAGCATTATGAAGAGATATAATAGACTGACAAATGAATCATTTAGTTGCGAAGTATCATATCAAAAGCAGAAAATAAGATTAGTTTCAGATACTAGGAGACAAGTTGCCTCAGTTTGTAACTTTGCACCAATCACGGCATTGTTATTTATTTTTTATTTTTTGAAAGAGCACTCAAAAGGGAAGCACATCCCAAAACAAAAACCAATCATGGCTTTATTAGAGTTCATTTAGGATAAAATTGATTACGATCCCAGTAAACAAAATAAAATCAAAAGCTTTAACACCATCTCTGACAGAAAACCAAGGTAAAACTTAGTCTCTCTAACATTACTCTTTATTCATCTTATGACGATGGAATACCCCTCTAGCATTATGAAGAGATATAATAGACTGACAAATGAATCATGAAGTTGCGAAGTATCATATCAAAAGCAGAAAATAAGATTAGTTTCAGATACTAGGAGACAAGTTGCCTCAGTTTGTAACTTTGCACCAATAACGGCATTGTTATTTATTTTTTATTTTTTGAAAGAGCACTCAAAAGGGGAGCACATACCAAAACAAAAACCAATCATGGCTTTATTAGAGTTCATTTAGGATAAAATTGATTACAATCCCGGTAAACAAAATAAAATCAAGAGCTTTAACACCATCTCTGACAGAAGACCAAGGTAATAATTAGTCTCTAACATTGCTCTTTATTCACCTTATAGATGCAGAAACAATATCCTTTGGAGTTTCCTGTGTCTCTATCCCTAACGAGGTCAAACCCATGCAAAGGCCTGCAACAAGCCAAACACTACATCATTAAAACATGTATTACCAAAATTGACAACATAACTAAGACCATCTCCAATGCAAAATGCCATTTTTGCATGCCAAATCTATATTTTGAGAGGAGCTACAATGTCAAAATGCTTTATTTTAGCAATTCTGCTCTAATGGTGCATTTCATCCAAAATGCTATATTTTTACACAACCACCATTCGTTTTCAAATACCATTCCCAACTACCGATTTTCAACAACCATTTTTTTTTTTTTGTGAGTGTTTGTATTTTATTTAGCTTATTTGCCTCATTAAAAATAAATAAAATATAAATTATATATTTGATTATATTATTAGTAATTCTAAACCAAAAAAATAATTGTTTTTAGGGCTGCCCTCTCAGCCTCCCCAATCGCCTCCATCTCTATTTTCGTTCTCAACTTTGAACTTGCCCTCTCTCTCTGCAACTGCAAACTACAAAATCTACAAGAATCAGAAGTTCAAAATCCGTATATTTCAGTTTATCTATCTGTCAGCAAGAATCAAAAGTTCAAAACCCATATCGGCATATCATTTCAGATTGTTCAAAAAATCAAAACCCATATCTTTCAATTTCCATCGCCTGTTGTTCCAGTTCGGGTTTGCCGTTCACAAGCTTCACCCGCTGTCTCTCAACTCTCAAGCTTGCCCCCCTCCCTCTCTGCAACTGCTAACGTGTCCTCTCTCTCTCTCTCTCTCTCTGCAACTGCAAACTACAAAATCTACAAGAATCAGAAGTTCAAATCAGTTTATCTATCCGTCTGCAAGAATCAAAAGTTCAAAACCCATATCGGCATATCATTTCAGATTGTTCAAAAAATCAAAACCCATATCTTTCAGTTTCAATAGCCCGCTGTTCCAATTAGATTATGCCATCGAAATTCAGGAATTCTGAATCTTAATTGTGGATACAGAGTAAAAGAGATGAACAACTATATATATATATATATATATATATGCGTGTGTATATATAGAATTTGTTGGCCAATAACTACAAAAGAGATGAACAACTATATATATATATATATATGCGTGTGTATATGCATGGAGAGAGGCAGAGAGATTTGGCAACTGCTATAGTTTGTGTTATATTTGGCACAAGATTTGACAAAGCTATATTTTGGCAGCCCATTTGACATGCCATTGGAGAGCCTATTTTAAACCCACCTGTTATATTTTGAAATTGGCAGCCCATTGAAGTTGCTTAAACATATATCCTTGCATAAAGCATGAGTCATTCATCAGTGCAGATAAAAACATGAGAAAAATCATTCGAGATTCAGTAGAATGACTACCCAAAGGACTCGAGAAATTCTAGAATACGTGCTTCAATAAAATAGTATGGCAATCCACAAACATAGATAAGGTCTGTAACCTCAGCTCCACCAATCACACTATCAATGGGATCTAGAATCAGCACACCAGAAAAAAAAAGATGATACGAAAAAGATACATAAATCCTTCCCTAAAGCAACTGGTTATAACAGTGATGAATGACGAATAGAAAAGCAAATAAAAAATGCAATCATCCATCATAAAGTTAGCTTTAATCCAATGAAACCCGAGAAAACTTTGAGATAGCATGCATAAATGTGATGGCAAGGTGAAGCAGTAAAATAGAATCCTGGGATATTATTAGTTGTCTATTTCTTCTGTGTAAGGAGCCTTGCTCAATTTGCAGATTCCTCTTATGCTCCATTTGCAGAGATCAGGCACCCCCCTCAAAATATTCTCTCTCTTAATTACCTCATAACTCTAGGTTTTGGAGGTTAACCACAGGGTTGTCCATTGAATTACTCTAATATGTTGAAAAAAGTAGTTGATCGTCTTTGACAACACGGTTTGTTCTGTATGCAAATTAAGTAGCAAAGGGGCAGCTATAATTTCCAATAATTTTTTTTGGGAATGATATCCTTTGCATTTACTTGCCGGGATACCAAAAAAAAAAGTACCCCACTTCATTTTCTTTATAGTTTTTAGACTTGGGGAGTGTTAGGTCCTTGTTTCTTATCATTTCTAGTCTGAAAGAATAATTGGAGAAACACTAATCCTGTGTAGTTTCTACCTCCTAGACATAAAATCAACTTATTAGCATCAGAATAAAACAAAAATAAAAAAGAAATACAAAGAAGCAGAATAGAGCATCCAATTATTACTAAACTCAAAACCTTAACAAGTTTAATTAAGTGTCAATTAATCAAAGCATACTATTGAGCTATAAATTTTAGTGGTACATCATCCTGGCAAACTGAATCATATTGCAAAATTTGAGGGAAAGAGATACAATGTCAATTTACCCAGGTGTAAGTCCTACAGCAGGCAAGTTAAGGTGAGGAATTGGTTGGCCAGGAACAAGTGCTGCAGCTAACGAAGGGTTGTAGTCTGTACTCTGTAGGCCTTTGAACCCTCACAGAAACTAGCAAGATTGAAAGAAAGAAAAAAGAAGAAATAAAAGAAAAGAAGTCAGACAAAAGATCACCTATGCTTTACACAGGTAAGTTAATCCATGTGCCAAAAAAATGTTCTTCATGACCAAGTAAAAAGTCCAGAAAACTTTAACCTAGGTAATGTAAAGCTCTGATTACTCAGACCCAACACTCAGCGAAATGACCATCACACATACGCTAATAGTATATCCAGTAAGTCTTTTTTATCTATCGGTTTGGCCCAGAGAATTTTGAATTTAAGCAAAAAAATAATTTATTGAAACTGCCACTCACCATCAACACTTATTGAATAGTACTCAATTTTCTTGAATAAACAAAGTTTAATAATGATCAGGATAACAACATAATGAACAATGAAGTTATAAATGTTAATTCAATTATACCATGAGACTGTCCATATTGATACAGGTTTCCAATTTTAAGCTATTATTTTCAATTTGGAGACAAGATGGGATGGTCTAAGTACATATGGAAATTATAATTGCAGCCTCAATGTGCATTTTTTTCATTCTTGTAACTTTTCTCCAATCACATCTTTAAAATCATCCTCATCATAGAGAGAGAGAGAGAGAGAGAGAGAGAGTTGAGCTTGCCTCAAACGCAAACCCATCTAGAGAACTTGCATTACTTGCTTCTTCAACTGTTCTCATCTTCAAATGCAAACTTCTTATCATGGTTAATGTACACATTTACAACCGCATCACCTACAATTAAAAATATAGAATCATTTATAATCTAAAAGTAAACCAATAAAAGGGACGAAAATGGGAAGCATAAACTACACACACACACACTTGGAAGAGAAGACTAAACTGACCCGGACAAGCAGAATTTCCTCCAATTGCAGTCATAACACCGCTAAAAAATATTGATAGTTGAGGGTTAAAATAGGTAAATTAAGATTGTAATACTCTGCTTTCAGAATAAAAAGGAAGAAAGAAGGCCGAGGGGCAGGCATATTTAGTAGGTGAGAGTTCAAAATCAAAACAGTTGACAGAATAACTGCAACCTGTAAGTCATGAAATAGCTTAGGACAAAAATTATGTTTACTCCATTACTGATTATTAATTTATTTGATGACAGGATTTGAATCGATGATATCAACAAGACAATTGGCATGCTTAGTGAACTACAAGATGAGTACAAGTTTGCTTAGCAGAGCTTTCAGAAGCCAGAGGAACAAATAATCTGTAGTGCCACATGCCCACTTTGGCTACATTAATTTTTGAAGAATTTTCTAGACACATTACTTCAACAAAGTTTGAGAAGTCCCCATTCTTCTGAGGGGGAATAAAAAAATTTGTGCAGATATAAGATGCAAAGATTTGTTTCTTAGAACTGAGAGTAGTGTGCCTGCAACACTCATGATTATAGTATAACATCATTTTGGTGCATTTTAACGAAAGCCCGAGACATACAGTACCATATATTACTTGGGAAGAAAAATCATATATCCGTGCTCAATAGGGGGTGCAGTAGACTATATTCTGAATTAGATTACAATCCCCATTATTCGTGGTCTCAGATGTGTAACCTACAAATAGGTGTTTATTCAGACTAGAGAACAAATACAAAGAAACAACTTGTGCCAAATTTGTAAACCCAATAATGTCAAACTATGTTATAAATTGAAAAATGAAACCAAGTTTTATAAAAGGAAAGGAACAAAAAAAAAAGGAAAGAAAGATTAAACATACAATACCTGAAGATAAAAAAGTTAGAACTACGAATTGATACCACCAAGAAACATCTAAATATGGGAATGTCAATCCATGTCAATTAAACACAGCATATTTGGGAAGAGAAATCTATTGACACTGAAAAAACAAAAAAAAAAATAAAAATAATAACCATAGTGTTCCTAACAAGGAAAAAAATCCCATTTTACAACTCGCTCATTAGCCAGGGGAGGAAGACCACCAACATATACACAACATGCATACCTTGTAACCTAATAGAGAAAGAAGCATAAATTACGTCACTAGAACAATATAAAGCATAACTAAAAGCATAAGTTATATAATAATAATAATAATGACTTTTACCTGCTGAGTCATGGCTTGGGCTGGCATCAGTGGAAGTCTGGAAGAGCTCCCAACTGATTTGGATGCAAACAATGAAAAGGAAAACCAGCAGAATAAGGCATTAACTAGTTCCTTTGTAAACCAATACTTGTGTTGTCTCAAAAGGTAACATATTTTGGAAATTTCCTGGCATTGTTTTTGGACCACCTAGTTGTCCTGCATATTTAACTATAAGAAATCAGGTGAAAAAGGAATGAGGCATTAAATGACAAAAATAAAATGTGTCGCTACTACATGTTGAGAAGCAGCACTTCCAGAAGCCTAAAACTATCTAATTATCAGAACACTAATGCACTAGAAATACACAAATAAAAATATTTTGTGCCTAAAATAACAATCATTCAGGTAATAAAATAAGAAATAAATTTCATCACTGCAAATGCTGAGGAATGGTTGTTATTTGTAAGTCTACCAAATAACAACAGTTGCAGGATGAAGACAAACAAGATCCAGCTAATTATGCATTGACTCATCTGAGCATTAAATCTACAGTGGTCACATCCATGGGTAGCACAGTGGGACATGTAGCCCATCATTGCCTTCTTGCCCAATGATAGACAAAAATAAAAACAATAGTTCCCACTTCCAATAATAAACAATAGGTAAGAAAAATAACTGAAATTGAACAGAAAAGTAATCACAAACAATTACCAAACTCAAATGCTACAATACTTCCTACATAACGATGCAGCACAACTGAATGCTAATAGGAAGCTAATCTACATATATACAGAAGACAAGTTCTAACCTGAAGCTGCACCGCGAGTCATCATGGAAGCAACAGCTGGTGCCATGTCAAAACTACTTGTCCGCTTGCTGTAGACAAAAGAAACGTAACATGATAACTACTGATAAAATAGTTTTCAAATCCAGAATAAAAATAGCATCAACTTCCAATATAAGTTTGGTCAAATTAGTTTTAACAAAATAGAATATAATTTTGTGTCAAATTAGAAAATAGGGATTCAACAAACTTACTATAATAAAAGCTACAAAATTAAAGAAAAGGTAAGTATTTACAGGAAGAGATAAGGAAATGAAGACTAAAAATCAGTACAAGCTACAAAGTTAAAGAGGGTAATTATTTACAAGAAGAGATGAGGAAATGAAGACTAAAAAATCAGTACAACAGGATAGGACACACAGATAACATCATACAATAAGAATGACAACTTATGGAGGAGCAAATGGAGACTCCCTATTTTTCAGGTTTGCCATGTCAGAAACAGCAACACAGAAGCATATAGAAAATTTTGGGCAGACACGACAGATTATTGGGTTGTCATGCTGCACAACTTGCCACCATGCTGGATATTGGACAGTGGACACTGACCATCATGTCAGCATCCTCACTATATAGCTCTAAACTTTTATATTTTCTAGGCAAATGAGGAGCCTAAGATTTTCAGAAACTGAGAGGGCGCCTACCGTTTCTGCAAGCAACACCTTGGCAAAAGGATTGGTAAAATTAAGCAAAATAAATGGAGGAAACTTACCAAAAAAAATGTTTATAACTTTATTTAGCAATATATTTTTCAAAAGGTGTTTAGCAATATCAGAGCATGTATACATGTAAATATATTTGTCTATCTGAATATGTATTTATCAATCTATCCATATCATGATTCGCCGAACCGGCCAGTTCGGAACGCAATTTCAAGCTTCCAATACCAGTGCCCAGCAGTTTACTGGTTGGTACTTGATTTCACAAGTGAACGCAATTCCCACCAGTAGCAGTCGCTACAGCATGTAATGGCCATTTCTGGCCGGTTCGGTCAATTAAAAAGAGGCAAACATAGCCTAAAAGGTCATGCATTGGTGAATGATTAGAGAATGAGAAACACCACGCTGAGGCCTGAACTTGGGACCATGTGCGTTAAATGAAGGCTTCCAGCATTCAGCCTCCCAACCAATCTTCAAGTTATGTCCTAGTTAGTGCTATTTTCATATTTATTCAAACCTTAACTAGTTATTATTATATAAACTCATTTACGTTATACGTAAACAAAAAACATCTTTTAAATTAATTTTTATTTTTACTTTTTTAATTCTTACACAGTATGTGTAATTTTCATTTGTTTCATAATTAAGTTTACTTTTATTCATTAATAATATAACTACTAAGCATTCTTAACAATACGCATTCTTATTTGTGTTAAATGGTCTTCAAAAATAAAAATATAAATTACTAAAATTCACTAATAATCCAACTTTATCAAATTATATTGTAAAAAGTTATGTATTGGTGCATTTTGAGCCTTATGTGCGAGAGAAAAAAAAAAAAAAAAAAAATTCATGATTACATTAACCAATTCGGTTACACCGATAAGGACCCGATTCCACTACACCGCGACAGAGAAAGAATACAACTTTTTTATTGTTTTTTAATACATAAACAGATTGGGTAAATACAGTTAGACAGAGAAAGAATACAACTTTTTGGAAGGTCCGTGACTTTTGGGATGCGCGTCTTTTGGCAATAAGCCAACGGACACTTTTAGTTGGTTCCCAAACATAAAATAGACTTTTTATACAGAGAGAGAATGTGATTTTTGGAAACTCAATCCCTGCTCTCACACTTGACAACTGAAATTTTTATGCAAAAAATGACTCTCTTTAAATTTGATCCACATTCTCACACTTTAAAACTGAAATTGAGATCAATATACTTCCCCTTAAATGAAAGGTAGCATCAGTTCGCAAAATGATCACCATATTTACAAAGCTGATCAACATAGTTGCGGAATCAAAAAGGTTCTAAAAGAAAGAAGAAGAAAATCCACCAGCAATTGCTAACAGTCCAAAAAGAACCAATATCTGAATAAGTAAAACAATATTACCAATGAATTAAGAAAATCTGTAGCAATATGTTTGCCAGCAAATAATACCAATAGGGTTGACCATCCAAAAAGAAATCAAATTCCATCAATGAGAAAAAACAATATTATCATTTGTCTAGGTGAATAAACAGCTGTTATAGCAATCTGTTTATTAAGAAAACAATGTAAAATTATAGCTTTTGTATGCCAATATTTATCTGTAAACCGACATCTACATGGAGCATATCTGATCTAATATTTTTTTTTTCCCTGAATAGTCTAATATAGAGCACAAAAAACATGTTAAAATAATAAATAAAAATAAAAAGTATCATAAGCAAGACATTGAATATGCTTAAAATAAAGCTATTCAAGACCTTTTCAAGGGAGATCGTGAATGAGAGTGAGATCTAGATCGATCGTTAGATCTATCCTTTGATCAGGACTGTGATTTTTTTTTCCTGAATAATCTAATATAGATCGCAAAAAACATGTTAAAATAATAAATAAAAATAAAAAGTATCATAAGCAACAGATTGAATATGCTTAAAATAAAGCTATTCAAGACCTTTTCAAGGGAGATCGTGAACGAAAGTGAGATCTAGATCGATCGCTAGATCTATCCTTTGATCAGGAACGTGATCTATGGCTGCGACACCTTTCTCTGTTTTGATCATATTCATTTTGTCTGCTAAATTAACAAACTATATATCAAAACTTCAAAGACACAAAAAAAAAAATGTGTTCCAAATTATTGTATAAAAATATATACAGCATATAAAAGGCAGAAGCAAGGCGAAAGGAAGAAGTAATGACTCCTCTCCATACACATTAATTGTTGTATTACTGCTCTAACCATTACATTCCAACTTACTCAGTGAAATTCACCAACCAAAATATTTAGATGATGAAATGGTGCCCAAATGAAGTTCTGAAAAAACACACTTTTAAAAGTTGTCTAATTTAAACCTAATTTTTAAAAACAAATTTTGTAGAAAAATCACATTGGGCAACAAGTAAGAACAATTATTCATAGAAAAGCCACAATGCCTCCTATCCATACACCTTCAACAAATTTACAGCAATTTGACGCCTCTACTTGAATTTATCCAACTTCAAAATCCTTCCCAACGCCATTGTCCACCCAAAAAAAAGCCACCTCAAGAAGGGCTTTTTTCCTCCACACTGCTCTCCACGGAATTGACTTCCACAAGATTTGCATGACAACATGGGAGTCGTGCTCCCGAAGATGTTTGGCGCCTTAGCGCGCCTTGGGCCTTAAACAACTATGATATATACATAATCAGTTCCAAACAACCAACCACCATTGGGGGGGTGTTACAAAATGATACAACTGATGAAGATAAGAAGGATGAGAAATCCTCCAAAGAACAACTAAACAACATATCAGACCAGAAGAACAAGAATAAATGGCATATGATTTAACCACAAAATGCATGAAAAGAAACTCACTGCTTCAAGGAAATGACAAACTGTAACCTATCATAAGCATGGTCCCTAGGATGGCCATGATCCCTATTTGTGTCCCTTCCTCTATTATTTCTCGCAATTCACCCCTTGTAGTCACTATTACGGACATCTCGATTGTTATACATAATCTTGATCCTGTTCTCTAGTCCTCAACCTCTTGTGGTCTGATTCACGTGATTTAACCTGAGATAATTGAACATAGTCAAAATTGTAGTGCACATGCATAACCAAGATCAACAAAAGCCACACAGAAAGAAATATGAGGATGTACATTTTACAAAATGAGATAATCAGCAACAAAAAGAAAAAACTAAATTGAGCACAAAAAGGGAAAAAGTTGATTAAAAGAAATATTTTCTCAGTAACTAATATCATAACTATCAATTTCTTCGGACAACAGCTTCTATATGTATCGATCATCGGCACTGAGACATCACATGAGCAGACCATTTACAATTCTAGTATCACTAGCAAATATTAGGAAAAGCAAACTGTATTCTCACTACATTTACATAAACAACCATTTAGCTACTCATACATTGATTGTTTTAGAATTATATGAAACGATGTTGCCTCTACCTTCCAACAAGCACTAGAGCTTGGTGATGGTATTGAGAATAAATGATCGTTCATCCAAGTGGTTCAATTGTACAAATGGATTTGTTGCTTCACATGCTATGTATGTTCATCAAGTTCAATTGTAATGCTAATTGATAGAGATGCACCATTCCTGCCTTTAGAAACAACCACCTTCCTCTACTAATATTAAATTTTACCTTTTTTCTTTGAGCAATGCTGTAAAAAAGAACTTCAATTAAAGCTTCAAATGCAGAATGGTGTAGCGCCATTATTTTCCAATCATTTCAAAACAAAAGATCATCAACATTCATTCTAATTTCTCTTTTACTGAAGTTCTTGCTAAACCTTGCCCATTTTCTTGCTAAGATAAGATTCAGATTGTAGAGCATACTCATTTTTATGTATATCCAAATAATGTACAAATGACACTAGATAATAATAATTTTTGGTTGGATAACTTGGAATGGAATTTTTGTAATAATCCTCAATGCAGCTCCACTCTTAGCTATCTTCTTCACACAGCAAATCAAAAGTGTCAATATATATATATAAATATATATATAATATATCATGTAAACTTTAGGAAGATTTTAATTTTTCCCAATCACTTGATAAAATAAATAGACCTGTTTCTCCAAGCATATCAACAAGTCACCAATTCACACACAAAGATCACAACAACAGTATGCTTAATTCATAATCAAACAAAACCTATAACTAATAAGTTTGAGTCACTGTTACAGACTATCGTAAAGTTGTTCTTAAACAAACAATTCAATCTGTTATTCCAATTTTAATCAAACAATGAGAAGGAAAAACAAAACAAAAAAGGCCTTGTGATACTGCGAGCTTCGAACTTCGATCTTCGAAACCCTAATCTATGCGCTGGTCTCTTTTTCATAGACTGATGAGACAAGAATGTTCGAGTACACCCAGCACTGCGCTCTACCAACTTGGCCACTAGATAATGCCCCCAAAAATATACTTTAATGCTCATGATATTTTGATAACATATTATCACAAACTGATTAAATGCTGATATGTATTAATAAGGACGGACACTTCTACAAAGGAGTCGTACTGGTGTCGTGTCTATGTCGGGCACCAACACTTTTCGGACATTCGTCGGACACGTGTCCGATTCTTCATTTATGTGTCCATAAATAAAAATTAAATTTTATTATAGTTGAATAATATATTAGTCGCACCACCTAGGCTTATCATTCACTGAATGGTGATCATCAGCTTTAATTATTGTGACACTCCAATGCTGATCTGGCTCAAACTCAACTTGGTCCGTATAAAGGTACGATTTTGTATGCATCAATGCTTTATTTTCAGTCAAATCGGCAACCAAAAATGTAGTTTCCTGTGATAGAAGGGGATGTGGCAATCATAGAAAGGATAAGTCTTCAAAGACGGCATAATTAATTTCAAAGCTTAAATCCCTTACAGAATAGTATATATGAAATTTAGTATGACCATTCAAAAAAAACTATGGACTCGCTGTCTTAAAAAAACACTATTTCCAAACTGAAACAAACATAGTAAAAAATGAAAACAGAAAAAACCATTTCAATAGATTTCACAAGAATTTTCACTTAGCATATTGGACATGCTGAAATGTTTACACAAAACAAGATACCACCATAATGAAAGTTTCAAGCACAAACAAAATAAACAAATAGAAATCCAAGCAGCTGAGAAGATTTCTTATCGTGCTTACATCAGAAAACCCTCTTCTATGGCCTGCAATAATGTTGCAAGCAGGCAACCCATCTCCTACCCAAATTCCGAAGTACCAATTCCAGAATATTTAATGGCCATGAAAGCTTCCCATTTCACTTTTGGAAATCCAATATACCTCTATGCATATCCAGGCAGGATTAATGGACTTACACTCAAAAATTTTAACCATCATCAACCTAACTTGACAACACGGACCCGCACAAGTTAAATAAATAAATAGCATGTTAGAGAAAACAAATACAACACAAAACAAGGACGTGAATGAAATATGCTACTGGACAGAAAACAACCCCTGTATTAGTTATACACAATCATATCCATGAAAATGGAATTCGCTTTTAACATACAATTTGTTTGGCCTATGCCCAGCTGGTGATGATACCTTTGTCCTAACTGAAAGTGGATTCGAAACGATAAACTTGAAGAACTGTGGAAGATATTTACCCTTGGTATCCCCATCATTATACAAAGCAGTGCAGACCAACCTAAAGATGGTCGAGCAACAGTGCATTGTCAGATTACAATACAGTTGCTGTATGAATAAAAGGAGACGATGAGAAAGAGAAAAACCTTGAGATGCTAGCGATATATAACCTACGTGTGTGCACCAAGTTCTTTCACATCATGTTCAACAATAAAATCATAATGCCTTCCTGCACTCATTGATTCAACAGGTGATTTTGATGTATCTAAAAGCACTATTCTCTGTCTTGTCTTTCTGTTTGAATTTCTGCCTCAAATAAATCAACAACTCACTGCTCAAGTGTTGTGTTTGTATCAAAGGAATCTAAATTTATGCTAGCAAACAAATAGTAACAAACTTCCTTATTTTCCAACACATGAAAGTGCAATCCCTGTATGTACACACGGAGACTAACATAAGTTTTTCCGATTGAATTTCTTATGGCTTTAGAGGGTATAACACATTTATAAACTTGTATCCTTGTTTTTATCACTTATTTGTCTATTCTGTCTAATTTCTTACAATCTTCAAATATTCTTTTTGTAATTACCATACAGATGATTTTTTTTACAGGAAGAGGTTAAAATACACATTGAGATACTAAAATTACACAACATTAGATAGCATAAGTTCCAACAAGGAGGCTTATATGTAGGCCATAGCGCAATAGAAATCCCAGGGGTCAAGCTTAATAATAAAAGCATAGGAATCACTGAACCGACGTCAATAGCGCAATACATAACCTCACATGCTTCATCATAGCGCTAATAAAAATATACAAAACACACACACACACAAGTACAGCACATGAATTAGAAATGGCATTCACTTAAGACGGCAGGGGGCTTATAATAGCCACTTAAAGCTAATAAAAGGCATTTAAGTACCAGATCAACAACACAACCATATGCAGCTATGTGTGCTTCCAACTACTATTAACATTTTTTTAATGTCAAAATTTCATATTTTCTAAAATTATACCATCAGTACTCTATTCTTACTCATTAAAATAAAAAATAAAAGAATGTCCTGTGTTTCAGTAATGTCTTACTAAATGGGCAACATAATTCTCAATTCAAAGAGCTTAGGAAGTTTATTTCAGTTAAATTTACCGCAAAAGAAATTGAATTAGCCAGTTCAAAGCACTACAAGTACACCGTAATAATACTATTTCAGCAATTTATGGGAGTAATCAACACCTTAATTATAACGTCCGTGACTTCAAAATTGGAACTACAGTATTGTAGATGCTAATGTAGCTTGTCTCCCCAAGATATATTGCCCTGCAGATCAAATCAGAATCTTCTGATCCATCTATATATATATATATATCTTAAATAAATAAAAATATTGAAGAAATTTAAACATAATTTAGGTGACGAACCTGATATTTAGTTTAGATTTCTCCAATTTTCTTTCTCTTTTCTTTTTCATCCTTCCACTTTTCTTTCTGTTTTTCTCTCTTTTCTCTTTAATCCTTCACTTTTCTTTCTGCTTTTCTCTTTGCCGTGGTGACCTCTCTATTGGTTCACCACCAAGCTCTCTCCTCTCACATACAGTAATAGGTCAAGTTCTAATATATGGGCTTATATATTATACCATGAAGTCATGGTTATACAAATGCTTGGGTCATTTTATTTTATTTATAGTTTAATAATATTACATCATATCATCTGGAAAACACTCTATTAATGTACACCACACGTTCGCCACGTCAGTGGTGGAGTAGTTAGTACCCTCTTTACGGCAAACACTGAACATATATAGCTAATGTTATTTATTTATTATTATTATTATTTTTATATATACAGTATTATTAATGGTTTTTTATTTTTTATTTTTTTTTTCTTTGGAAGGTAAGTATATTGTATTGAAATTAAATGAGTTTACAAAACAAGGCCAAAACCCGAACAAAAAACACGGGCCACACTCAGCCCACTTACAAACCACTCAGTGTAGCCTAAAGCCCACACCAATCAAGCAATTGCTCTAAGACAATTATAGGCTAAAGGAAACCCCAGACTATTGTTGTCTCAGCCAATATATGCATCCGGTGATTCTCTATACGATGAGGCAGAGCCTCCAAAATTCAATCCGGCTCCGGCGGTGGTCTGATGACGGACTGCGGCAAATCCCAATCCAAAATCATTCTCCGCGCCGCTGGCGAGTCTTTGAATTTAGCATAGAGCAAGCGTTGTTTCACCATATCCATGGTATGATTCATAACCCTTGTTTGCGATCTTCATTGATCATTGAATGCCCTATTGTTACGTTCGATCCAGATCTGATTAACAACTGTAGATAAAGCAATTTTGTTAATCGAGTTTTGCAGATTCCTAGCTCTCTAGTGCTGTAATGCCCAGCGAATGAATCCTTCCTAATTGAGATGAGAAACTTGAAATCGGCATTTGTACTGCAAGAAATTCCAAATTGGTTATGTGAAAGTACATGTGAAAAACAAGTGGTCGTGGGACTCTTTAACTGTTTGGCAGAGGCGACATAGTCTTGAATTTTATTATTTTCATAACCAATAATATAATAGGGTTGTTAGGGCATCTCACTTCCTTTTTGTGTTTCAATTATTAATCGGGGTGAATGAATCTGGCGACTGCATCTTCCTCTTCCTCTTCTTTCTACGTTTGTGAATCAACAGAGAATTCCTTTTTGTGTTTCAATTATTAATCTGAGTGATTGAATCTATTTCTTCCTCTCCCTTTCCCGCTCCCAATTAAGGATGAATGAATCTGGGATTCTTGTCTATCAATCATGTATCAATCGATGATAAAGATGGTAACTTTGGTATGTCGATCAACACAACTAAGGGATCAACACTCTATTAAGATAATTTTACCCTTCTTCTTGACTATATATCAACACTACTCTATTGTTACATCTATTTGCGGCGGCTGCTTCTTTGATTTGATTCGATTCTTGTGTATCAATCAAAGAAGAATAAATTGATAATGTCATGTAAAGTTTGAGACTTTATTTGCAGGGATGTCGAGATCAGAGATGTAATGGCTGATGTGGAGAGCAGCGATGAGGAAAAAACGATGTAATGGCTTCAGAAGATAGAAGAAATAGGTTTAGTAAGATTGGAATTTCACGATTGAGGATGAATGAATCTGGGCTTCTTGTCTATCAATCGACGTCGACTGCTTCTTCTTGGGTAAACCGTCTGCTTCTTCTTGGGTATGAATCGATTTGATTCTTGTGTATCAATCGAATAGGAATAAATTGATTATGTCATGTAAAGTTCGAGACTTTATTTGCAGGAATCTTGAGATCAGAGGTGGAGAGCAGCGATGAGGAAGAAACGGGCAATGCTTCAGAACATAGAAGAAATAGGTTTAGTAAGATTGGAATTTTACTATTGAGGATAAATAAATCCGGGTTTCTTATCTATCAATCGTGTATCAATTGACGGTGGGCTCTTTCTTGTGTATAAATCGATTCGATTCTTATGTATCAATCGAAAAGGAAGAAATTCTTATGTCATGTAAAGATTGAGACTTTATTTGCAAGGATGTCGAGATCAGAGATGTAATGGCTGATGTGGAGAGCAGCAATGAGGAAGAAATGGCCGTGCAATGTAATGGCTTCAGAAAATAGAAGAAATAGAGAGGAAGAAACGGGTAATAGTAGTGATATGATATGGTAGGAGCCTTTCTAGCCATCAGAAGAATGTGAGGTTGCCATCTCCAATTCTGTTTTTGATTATAGGTCTCTGGTTTGAGTTCTAAAGATGGGATAGTTTGGGAAGGTTTTAGTTCTAAAAGGGAATTCTGTTTTTGATTAAAGGTGTCTCTGGACTTACAATTGCAAAATTCTCATATCAGGTTTCTCTCATTCTGTCCCCTCTAATATTACACTTTATTCTTTTTATTTATCAATTATTATTAATTTCTACTCCTTGACATCTGGTATTGCTTTAATCAAGGTTGCGCTTCTTCAAGCTAATTCACTTATTGCATTCCTAACTTTCAAGGCACACAACATATTGAAAGGGAATTATGTTTTTTTTATTAAAGGTCTCTCTGGTCTGAGTTCTAAAGAAGAGAGGACTTACAATTACAAAAATTTTCAAATACGCCTTGAATCAAGTCTTACTCTTTATTCTTTTATTTATTTATTATTAATTTTTGTTCCTTGACATCTGGTATTGCTTTAATCAAGGTTCAAGTCCCCAAAAGACATCCCAAAACAGCATCAAACTCACACAACAAGTCAACCAAATCCTCAATTAAATTGACACAAGTCCCCGTAAAATGATCTCACACCAATCAACTCACTCTGAGCATCACAGTTCCCCAATAACCACGATAAAAACTCCCCAAGGTAAGACACGAAGGAAAAGGAATCACCCGTCCTAAGAAGGACAACACCACGACTCTGTCTCTGAAATGAAAGACAACAAGGTCAAAAACTTCACCCCCTACATGGAAGTAAGTCGACCAAAATCAACCAACTCTTCACTAAGGACTCAAGACAACAATGGTGATCTTCACGAACCAGCCAACCCCAAAACTGTGCACAACGCAACGAAGAGAAGAAACTCACTTCTTGTGAAGTCCCTTACTCGAACCAAGAAAAGAGGAGAAACCCTATTCCCCCATAAATGTCAACACGGCAAATACGAAAAGGGAGCAAAAAGGAAAACCAAACATGGAAGTCGTGCACAAAATAAGAAAATGCAACTACCAAGTAAGTACATTTACTCATAGAAAAATCAAGGGTACATGTGGCACATCTCCACGTAAGCACAAAATCATGTCACTAAGTACAGTAACAACATGGCATCTCTAAGCATATAACGAAGGCATACTAATGCCACACAACAAGAAAGCAAATGTGGACACACCTCCACCAACTCATGCATCACAATATCATAAATTATACTACTAACATGGTAGTAAATGAAACTACAGAAGATAAAAATGATGCGACAATGAACGTTATGAACATCGTGTCTAGGTAAAAGGAAAGACCAGTCCTAACCATAAACTGACTCAAAAAACCAATGCGATAACAACCTGTCTCAAAACAAACGTGAGCCCTTACCACAATGGTAAGACTCTAACAATCCATCTCCGAATTTAAAGGTGATACTATAAGTGACACTAACAGTGCAATGCTCTTTCTACCCAAAACATCAATCAATCGACTTGATCCCAAAAGCCTCATCACGCAAGGAACTGTCAAAGAAAATGGCAACTATAGCCATACCAACAACAACAAAATCAATCACTACGACTGATCTCCAAAACAACCATCATCATCATCGATCAAAGGGACTATGCCTATCAAGACAAAACCAACATTGATTCCATCCGAACTGCACTTGTAACTAGCCAGTACGGTAGCATGCACCCACCCACAAACGTACCCGCCCAAGAAAATCGCAATTACAGAGGAATCATCCCAAACAATCAATGATCCTAAGAGGTCCATAACCTCATCATAGCCCAAAACCAATAAATCTAGTACTACGGCAAAGCCAAAGGACTCACCTCATGAGAGCCAAAACAAAAAGGTGTCTCTCTACCTACCTCAAAACCAATGTTAGGTCGACAACAACCTATATCACCATGAAACTATGACTACAATCACTATCAACCCCAACTTGTGCCTTAATGACCAATCCCGTGTCATGCCAAATATACAACTCAGTTATGTATATACAAATCTAATATAGCATATATCATATGTCATGTTTTTTGCATTAGAATAAAATCATACTAAACAAACGACATGTCACATATAACACATAAGCACATAAACATGTTATCAAAAAACATATAAGCATATCAAAGCAAATCAATAAAAGCATGAAATGCACCCAAAACCTGTCGTCTAAGGTATTCAAACCTAGGCACTCTGGTACCACTTGTGACGGCCCAAGTTTTTCAATCCGGTGCGTCAGTGATGACCCGAAAGTTAACCCAAAAATAGGTCCAAAATGCGGAAGCAAAAGAAAAGAAAGCACTATGTGCTCGTTCGGCACTCATCAATACCGAGGGCTCGTTTAGCACTCAATAAGGCCAAGCACCTGTTCGGCACTCATCAAGGCCGATCACTGGTTCGGCACTCATCAAGGTCAGACGTTCTGACCTACATGGTCAGGTGTTTTGACAAAAGGTTCAAGCATTCGAACAAAAGATTCAAGCGTCCTGATAAAAGGCTCAAGTGTTCGGACAAAAGGTTCAAGCGTTCTGACAAAAGGCTGAAGCGTTCGGACAAAAGGTTAAAGCGTCCGGATAAAAGACTCAAGCGTTCGGACAAAAGGTTCAAGCGCTCTGACAAAAGGCTTAAGCGTTCAGACAAAAGGTTCAAGCGTTTGGACTTGCATGGTCTGGCATCCTGACCTACATGGTCAAGCGTTCGAACTGTTGAACGACAAAACATAGAGCAAAGTGGCCGAACGACAAAACAGAAAGCAAAAAGAATTGGCCGAACGACAAAACAGAGAGCAAATATCAGCCAAACGACAAAACAGAAAGCAAACTTAAAGCAACCTTGAAGCTTTACATGCATTCCCAATGATCCCAACAAGTTAAAAACATACTTGTAAACTTTAAAAATTAATGGCCCTTAGCCTTATGTTATACATACACATAAAATGAGTGTTAATAGGTGTGCTTAGGCACACATTACATACCCAAAATTGAAAATGACTTGCTAAACCAAACATTACTTAACAACTTCAAAGAGAAGATAAACATGCTAACACTTGCATGTGAACAAGAATACAGTTAAAAGAACTTTAATTCTACATATCACCCAAGGCAATTGTAATCCCCAAATCTTGAATCCTGTATCTAAAAAATGTCCCCGGTAACTTCAGGGTGAGTAACATAAAACTACTCGTAGGAGATGAGCATGCAGTGACCTAACGTTTTACAATATTATCTCATTAACATGAAACAATTCAAAATGGGTCATGCCACCTAACGTCTATGTTAAAGGTGAGACCCGAGGAGCATCCTAAGCTATCTTAGAACATTTTTAGCATAAATCACATCATTCATGCAACCCAAACAACATAGAAACATGATATACTAAGCAACAAGACATGTATTTCAAAGCCATCAACTTGAAATCTACAAATACGAAAGCAACAAAAGTGGGTTATGCCACTAGACGTCTATGTTCCAAATGAATCTATAGGATCATTCCTAAACTACATTTGAACATTAACAGCATAAATGTACTTAACAAAATTAAAAACATGCGATAATTCCTTACAAATCATAATGCATAAAAGTACTTAACAACGTTAAATCGCCAATAACCAAAATTACAAGTCACAATTAAACATGATTGTCAACTTAGAATTGAATGCGAAATCAAATATTGGAAACCTTGGACATCAAATCTTGAAGTAAACCAAGACCTGAACTGTTATTCCGGGCATTAACCTGCTGGTCATACCACCCCAATGCGCACTATTTTGTAGGGAGCTCTCTATCTCCCATACTAAAGCCAAACTCTAGCCATGTCACTTGTAACAATGTCCCAAAAGAATCCAAAATAAATAAGTTAACAACTTATACATAATTTATATAATACACGAAGCCACCTTCCATGCACAAGTAGGTTGAAACTACACAATCCATACCTTAGAGTTTAAATTATAAAATGACCTATGTAATGTCAAATACGTAGTGTGTAATTCATTACACATGACAATAATATATTCAATATTGGAAACATGTTCTCATAAATATGAATTTAACAACAATGCTACTCAATACTTAAAGCATTACTCAGTGAATACATTACAAGTCCAAATCCATGATCTAAATATAAAAATAAATTCTACAACATAATCAAATCCATGGAACAATGAGATATAATTTAATTAAGTATAAATAATTAAATTCTCTAGATTTAAAATTATTTTCAAATAGCCTCAAATTAATATATGTTAAATGACATAACATGGTCATCACATATATTCATTCAAAACCTTAATTAGGCCAATGGAACCATTAAATATATTTTAATTAATTCTTTTAATTAAAATCTCTAGATTTTCAAACTTATCTAAATGCTCTCAAATTAAAGTATGCTGAAGAACATGCCAAGACTTAATTTAAAAGCATATCACGAGTTAATTTCATGCAAGATAGTGTCTTCCCTCAAGTTTCTCATTGGTTTCAGCTTCTTCAAGCTAATTCACTCCTTGCATTGCACGAAGAATGATTGGTAAGTTGCTACAGGTATTGCTAATTGAATTTCAATGTGTTGTGGGCACAATTGCAACCTAGCTATTTGATTTCCTCAACTTAGGAAATGTAATTTTATATATCAACTTAGACCTACTGTTGTTATGTAAGAACATATCTGGCCAATGTCATTTTGACCTACTGCATTTCCTATTGCTATGTCATGTCAATTCAAGGTCATTTTGACCAATTTATGAAAATTGTAATTTATATAAACAAACCAAAAGTTTCAACCAAAAGTGCACCACCCACTATCATAACCAATTCAACCACATTTTCCAACACATTCCAAGTAATATAAAGTACTTATTACACACTGAGTTTGACTTAATATTATAGACTAAATCTATTAAAGTCATTCATGTGTGAGTCGACGTGGTAATATCAGTTGATCCCGTAAGGCTACACCAGATGGGATCCTACAGTAGAATAGAAAGTCGGCCCCAAACCGGCCCACGGAACCACACCATATCCGCTGAATCCCCAGTTTTCCTCCCACGATTTTTGTATCAAGAAATATGGTCCCAACATGTCATCTATCGCATAGCCAATTACGAGAACCGTGTGTCCAGGAGGTCTACGTGCTAGAGCAAGGCCGGTAGTCGGGGCTGGAGCAGGCGCGGTAGTCGGGGATGGAACAGGTGCACATATCTGTAGTCTAGCACCTTTACCATCAAATCCTTCATCGT